GATTTGACCTTGAAGAGTCATTTGAAGGTGACGTAAAGGTCATCTTCAATTTCTTAAATGGAATTCCCTATTTTTTATTACATATTCGTGTAGCTTATCTCGAGAGCTTTCCAAAACACTATAATAAAGTATTTCTTCATTGAGTACTTTTCCAGTTATATGGCTTGAAATCATTTCTTAATTTTACATAAACCGTAAAATATCTTATAAAATATTCATTTTTCGATTATCTTACCTCAATACTTTTATGTACAAAATAATGAAAGGAATCAATTGGTGTAAAGAAAACACATAGTTGTTTAAAAAAAAAAATATGTAATTGTTAATTGCACATTACATATTTTTTTCTTAAAAACTATGCTTTTTTTTACACCAATTGATTCCTCTCATTATTTTGTACATAAAAGTATTAAGATAAGATAATTCAAATGACTCTTCAAATGACTCTTCAAGTCAAATCATTGCCACTATCTGATGGCCCCCTTCAAGCCATACAACGTTTGTCTGAAACATTTCTTTCTAAAGTGCATAATTTATGAAATATTCGACCGGTCCGGGACTTTTGACACACTCTGTATATTGTTATATAATATGAAAGAAAGGAATAAAAGCGTTGTCTCGGAATTTGGCAATTAAACAAAATAGCCGGTATAATAGGAAATTATAGTTCGAGATATGCGCAATTATCAGATTTTTACAAGCAGGAAGCCTGAATTAGAATGTGAAATCCATTGTTAGATGAGTGAATGTTTACTAATCAGTATGCATATTTCTTTTCAATTATTCTGGTAATAAACATGCACCTAATGATGAATCTCACTCTGATTCATCTGCTTGTAAAATAATTGCACACAGTTTGAACTTGGAATAATTTTCAATGACACCAGTTTCCTTTGTTTGCTAAAATACGATCAGTGAATGAAAGACAATAATACTTGCATATTACTCTTTTCTTCTATGTAACAAAATATACTTGTGATTTCGAGATTGTGCGCACAGAACATATAATCTGGAAAAAAATCTTTGAAAAAACAGTCTTTTGCTTATCTATATTTTTAACTAAAAATTGAGATTATGTGTATTTTAATAGTAGTTAGTACCATTTGATATCAGATGCGATTTGCATGTGCGCATTGGTAAAAAAAATCCCAGAGGCGATTTTTATTCGAGAGCTGGTCGTAATATTTCATACCAGATGCGGTTTGCATGTACGCACTGGTTAAAAAATCCCAGAGGCGATTTTTATTCGTGAGCTGGTCGTAATATTTCATACCAGATGCGGTTTGCATGTACGCACTGGTTAAAAAACCCAGAGGCGATTTTTATTCGTGAGCTGGTCGTAATATTTCATACCAGATGCGGTTTGCATGTACGCACTGGTTAAAAAAATCCCAGAGGCGATTTTTATTCGTGAGCTGGTCGTAATATTTCATACCAGATGCGGTTTGCATGTACGCACTGGTTAAAAAATCCCAGAGGCGATTTTTATTCGTGAGCTGGTCGTAATATTTCATACCAGATGCGGTTTGCATGTACGCACTGGTTAAAAAATACCAGAGGCGATTTTTATTCGTGAGCTGGTCGTAATATTTCATACCAGATGCGGTTTGCATGTACGCACTGGTTAAAAAATCCCAGAGGCGATTTTTAACCGATGGAAGCAACTATTACTACTGTTACTGCTTTGAATGCAGAACAAGATGACGATTGCATCGTTGTCAGTTACTCACAAAATAAAAAGAGCTAACAGAAAACGATATGGCAATACAGAAAGAGTTTCTCGATAACTCGATTGCAACTAGTACTGCTATTACTGCTTTGAATGCAGAACAAGATGACGATTGCATCGTTGTCAGTTACTCACAAAATAAAGAAGAGCTAACTGAAGACAATATGGCAAGACAAAAAGAGTTTCTCGATAACTCGATTGCTTCTTTTAATTTAGTAAAAAATAATGTATTGCCTATACATAGCAAAATAAACGACGAATCATTAGATCGATTTTTACGCGTCGTAAGAAATAATTCTCATTTTGAAACACAAAGTATGTTATATTGGAATATCCTCATATAATTAAAGCAAGTCGTAGCGACAAAAGCTTACAAATTATTGGAGGGAATTGCAGCGATCACTGGCGATGTATATTTTTTCGACGGTACCAAGCTTCGAGTGTACGACAGTATACCTGATTGTACATACGATAAATTGGTATCTAAAGAAAAAAATTACATTCATCGCCGTTATCCACAAATAAGTGCTAATAATATAAAATTTGAAAAGGTTCAAACACAACCTGATGGCACTTGTTGTGGAATTTATGCTGCAGCTTTCGCTACAACTATAGTTTTAGGAGGAAATCCTTGCAATGAGAAATATTCCAATCGCGTGGAATATATGAGGCAACATTTTCTTAACATTATCGCAGAAAATGAACTGTCGCCTTTTCCAAAATTCTAATAAATATCTTTGGAAAAAACCTCAAATGCAAATTACTCCTTTGCAATTTTCGGAGAGACGAAAAAATATATTATGGTTGCGTTCTCACGGGAATGGGCGATGGAGGGGCCCATTCCATTCTCGATATAAATATATTATTTTCGAGGTAACAAATGTATTGTGAATATTTGTAAATAGTATGTGTAAATTTTACAAATATACAATATTACTTCAAATAACTTGCACAATACATTTAATATTATTAGCTTTATATCAATTAGTAAACGAGCCGTGCATAATTTGTAATTTGTTAAAAAAATTAATAGATAAAATTTAAAAAAATTATATGCAAATATCGTATAACTTTTTAACAAATTACAAATTATGCACGACTCGTTTACTAATCGATATAATCAAAAGTTAATAATATTAAATGTATTGCGCACGTTATTTGAAGTAATATTGTATATTTGTAAAATTTACAAATAATATTTATAAATATATTCACAATCTGATTTTATTATACATATCAATATTTTGACAATATATATATTTTACATTTTTCATATATTTTTATATATTTTATATATTCTCATATATATATATATATATATATATATATATATATATAATATTATTATTATTATATATATAAAGACATAATTAATGAGAGCAAACAGTAGAATTGTGCAATATGTACGCAATAAAGACAGATCTATGCTCTACAATCGTTGCTTGTACGAGACGATAAATCAGTGAAAATGCAACATTTTTTGTTACAATAAACACAATTAACCATAATGTAACGAAAAACTTTTGCATTGCTCTTTATAAAATATGCATGTCTTTCTAAAATATACATGTATTTTTATATTAGATAAGATATATTAGATTGTCGGTAACGTAACTATAAGTGTCGGTAATGTACCGACACTTTTAGTTATGTTAAAATGAGGGCGCCTACCCGTCGGAGTTCGGCCGTCGCTACGACATCCTCTTAATGACATTGTTAAAATCATTATCAATATTTCATGGTCGATATTATATGTATTATCATAAATATCCGAACCATCACTTTCCTCAAAAGTTGAATTCGTATCATCCAGATCATTAGCAGAATCATAAGTCCTAAAATCGTATCTGCTATTAGTATCTACTCTTTCTTGTGAACTACTTAAATTACATTTACTTTTATAAATAATAAAGGTTTTTATTTTTATACTGTAAATGCCTTTCACACACACACACGTGTGTGTGTTTATACATACACATTCTACACGGAGTAATTGTCATAGTAAAAATTATTATGATATGTGTATATAATAATTTACTATAAAATTTTTTTCTTGTACATAAATTTCTTACATATTGCAATTTGTACAATTTACACGAAGATTAATTCGATATTAAAAATTATTATAATATATAATAGCTGCGGACCACCAGGACCATGTCAAAGTAAAGTGTTATGTAAAACTGTAAAAATTGCATAATTTTTACAGTTTTACATAACACTTTACTTTGACATGGTCCTGCCCAGATAGCACAAGGATATCCTGAGGGCATCCTAAGACCATCCAGGATATACATGTAGGATATCCTAAGGATATCCTATTTTTATCCGTGGATATTCTTTGGACGTCCTCGGGAAGAGGAAATGATAGCCATATATTAGCCTCTGGAAAATCCAGGGACATCTTGTGGAACATCCTAAGGATTTCTACAGGATATATTAGGGATATTTTTCATATGTTTTAAGGAGCAAATTCTGAGCATCAATGTAATTTTTTCCTAAAAGCAAAAACGTAAAAAATGAAAAGTTTTTCGTGAATTTGATAAATAAAATTGCCGAATTCGAAATTGCCAAAACTTTTCACTTTTCACATTTTGCTCTTAGGGAAAGTTACATGATTGATGCTCTGAAAATGAAATAAACTAATATTACGTTCTGTTATTCATTGCAACTATTAAAATGTAATACTGAAAATAGTTCGTCATTTAATATTTATTATTAATTAAAAACAAATTACATTAATTTATTATTTTTAAATTATAAGTATTATTTATTTTTAAATTTAATGTTAATTAATATAATTTATTAATTATATTAATTATATTAATTAACATTAAATTTAAAAATTACAAACACTTATATGTTACAAAAAATAAAATTTAGATTTTCGCAAAGAACAGTAATAAGAAATGAGTGAACTTATATAAATAATTTATTTAAATAAGTTTATTTGCCATGAAAAAAAGTTTTTTTTATTTTGTGCAAATAAATTTATGTGAACAAAACAACTTAAACTCAAAATTGAAGTTAAACTTTAAACTAAAACTAAATTTAAACCAAAACTTTTAAAACTACATTTAAAATAAATGTGTATTTATATATATAATAACTTTTATCTATTAACTTTTATATATATAATAACTTTATCTATTAACTGTATAAAATATGTGAACGCTTTTAACATTTGTACTTTATATTCATAAAATAGAAAAGATTTTCCCTAAGAGAAAAATAAATGAATAATTTCTTCATAATAATATACATAATCTTTTCCCTAAGAGAAAAATAAATGAATAATTTTCTTCATAATAATATATGCGTGTGTCACTCTGTATATAATATTTTTCCACATTTGTAACAAATTGCTACGTGATGCATTTATACATTTGTGTCATCCATCCTGTGAAAATAAATGATAATTAATAACTTATTCATAAATACCGTGTATTTACGAAAATTTGTAAAAACTTACTTATTTTTCTTTAGATAACGCTCATTCGCATGTCGTAACCAAGATTTGATTGGCTCGGAAATACAATATTCAGTGCTTCTGCAAATCGAAGTCGTACAACATCTAAAAAAATAACAAATTACATAAATTACATTTATAAATAAATATTGTTTTTATCATGTATATTTAAATACTTGATTATTTACTCACTAAATATAATTTTTCGTAGTTGTAAATCATAAAATATCCGTTTTTTTTTCCTCCAACATAACTAAATGTAGAAGCTAACTTATCTGACATTAACACTCGTAAAAGATTTAAAAGTGATGCCTTTGATATTATTTCCTCCAATAGATGATAGCTGCTTAATCTATAAAAGTGAAAAATATATAAGAAAAATTCTAATAAGTAAAATTACAATCTGTCGACAAATTGGCAACTTCAGTTAGAATACTATATGTGTCTACATTAAGCTTTTATTCTATCAACAGAGCTTGTTAATATAATTTGAGAATGAGGATTTATCCGATGCGCCGATATCTGATATCCAAAAATAACAAAATTTTTTTTTAAGAATTCTTATTTTTTAAGAAGCTATTATTATGAATATCATCATACGTTGGACATCAAAGAGACCATTAGATTTCTGTTAATATTCTACTAACTAAATTAATAAGAATAGAAACACAGACACTTGGAGAAATTTGTTTTAATAGATTTGACTATTAAAAATATAATTTTATACATACACTTAATAAAATTTTTTAATATATTTACCAATTCTTTCGGTTAATAATATTATCTTTTAACGATTTTTCGAATTTTTCCAGATCCTCAATATTGTCAATAGGAAAATTATCCATTAAAGATTCTTCTGCAATTTGTTTGTCCAAAATTTCTTCACATGAAAAACATTTCTCAAGTTTACGTAACATAATATCAATTCTATTGTTTAAAAGTCTTTCTTGTTCTTCTATTGAAGATAATTTAAATCCTATATCTGTTAATTTTCTTATTATATAGCGTTGAAAATCAGAGTTTGCTAAAAATATAAAATAAAAATTATTGAAATATAAAAATTAATAAAACATAAAATTATTTTAATAGATTCATAAATCATATTTCATACTTACATGAACTATTATTATTTTCAGTTTTATAATGGTTATTAGGAGATTCATCATCATATATAATTCTTCATCTTTATCAAGTATTGCTACAAAACATACATGTTTTAAAAATATTTTAATGATATTCTTATATAATTATAAAAATTACCTCCACAATCATCAGCAATTGTACGTTGCTTGATTTGTTTCTG